ACCAAAATAGAAAATTGTACCTGAGCAATAACCATAAAAGAAATTGAACTGATAGACAACATTCAGTCTCCTTTCCCCAGGTAAGGCCAATTTAGCTATATCCTGAAGAAACAGAAAATTCTCATTTTGTAAAATCAGTCCCAGAGCACAGAATGAAATGGGAAGTTGCCTGACTCATTTAGAAGGCAAGTAATAAATGTTCATAGATTGGAAGATTCAATATTGTAAAGATGTTAAGTTTCCCCAAAGTAATTTACAGCTTCAAAGCAATTTCAATCAAAGTCTCAGTAGGTCTTTTTTTTTTTTTCCCCCACAAAAACTGACAGGCTGATCTAAAATTTATATGGAAATATAATGGGCCAAGAATAGCCAAAGGCAATCTTGAAGAAAAAATGCAGCTGAAGGGTCTTATGCTATCAGATATTAAAACCTATTTTTAAAATTATAGTAATTAAAATAAAGTGGTATTAACACAAGAATAGACAAAATGATCAATGGCAAATAAGAAAGGGTACAGAAGGAGATTCACACATAAAAGGTACCCTGATTTATGACAAAGGCAACACTACAGTTCAGTGGGGGAAAAAATGATCTGCTCAGTGATGGTGCCAGGTCAACTGGACATCCACATGGGAAAAAAAAAAAAGTTGATCTTCACTTGTTACCATACAAAAATCAGCACCAGATGGATGACAGATCTAAATGGGAAAAGGTCAAATAAAGCTTTTAAAGAAAATATCTTGTGACCTTAGAACAGGCAAATTTTTTTTAACAGCACTAATCATAAAAGAATAAGGTTTAATTGGATTATAATAAAGAGCTTCTGTTCATTGAAAGACACGATTAAAAGTGTGCAGAAGCCACAAATAGCCCAAGGTAAGATATATGAGGTATATACAGTTGTCTCTTTATTCATGGGGAATTGGTCACAGGACTGGGGCAAATACCCAGTCCATGGATGCTCAAGTCCCTTATATAAAATGGCATAATATATGCATATAACATACACATATTCTCCCACATATTTTAAGTCAGCTGTAGATTATTTGTAATACCTAATACAATGTGAACGCTATATAAATAGTTGTTATCCTGTAAAGTTTTTTATTTGTATTATTTCTTGAATATTTTTGAGTATTTATTTATTTAGAGATATGGTCTCACTCTGTCACCTAGGCTGGAAATGTAGCTCACTGCAGCCTCAAATTCCTGGGCTCAAGCAATCTTCTGCCTCAGGCTCTGGAGTAGCTGGCATTACAGGCATGCATCACCACATCTGGTTAATTTTTTTCTTTTTTTTTTTTTTTAAGATGCAGGGTCTTGTTAATGTTGGCCAGGCTGGTCTCAAACTCCTGGCTTCAAGCAATACTACCGCTTTAGCCTCCCAAAGTGCTGGGATTATAGGCATGAGCCACCTTACTGGGCCTGAGTATTCCTTTTCTTTTTTGAGATGGAGTCTCACTCTGTCACCCAGAGCAATGTCCGCCTCCTGGGTTCAAGCGATTCTCATGCCTCAGCCTCTAGAGTAGCTGGGACTACAGGTGCACGCCACTATCAGCTAGTTTTTGTATTTTTTAGTAGAGACGGGGTTTCGCCATGTTGGCCAGGCTGGTCTCGAACTCCTAGTCTCAAGTGATCCTCCTGGCTCAGTTTTACAAAGTGCTAGGATTACAGGCATGAGCCACGGTTGGTCCAATCTGCAGATGTGGAACTCTCAGATAAGGAGGGCCAACTGCGTCTCTAACAAAGGGCTTGTATCCAGTGTAGGTAAAGAATTCCTTCAAATCAGTAAGAAAAAGAGACAACCCAATAGAAAAAAATGAAAGAAATTTGATGTGGCTTCACAAAATGGATATACAATTGGCTAACGAACACATTAAAAATCTTAATATCGGCCGGGCGCGGTGGCTCAAGCCTGTAATCCCAGCACTTTGGGAGGCCGAGATGGGCGGATCATGAGGTCAGGAGATCGAGACCATCGTGGCTAACACGGTGAAACTCCGTCTCTACTAAAAAATACAAAAAACTAGCCGGGCGAGGTGGCGGGTGCCTGTAGTCCCAGCTACTCGGGAGGCTGAGGCAGGAGAATGGCGTAAACCCGGGAGGCGGAGCTTGCAGTGAGCCGAGATCCGGCCACTGCACTCCAGCCTGGGCGACAGAGCGAGACTCTGTCTCAAAAACAAACAAACAAACAAACAAACAAAAAAAAATCTTAATATCTTTATCAAGGATAAAAACTTCAAGGAGATACCAAGACATAAACACTAGAATCATAAAAAGAAAAACACTAAAATTAGCAAGTGTTGATGAGAATGTGGGGCAAAGGGACCTCTCATACCTTCCTGGCTGGAGAATAAACTGGTATAACCACTTTGGAATAAAGTTTGGCAATCTCTACAGAAATATCTATGTATTTGCTATGACCCAGAAATTCCATTCCTACATACATATCCACCAGAAATATGTTTAACCAAACACATACGAAAAGGTTCACAGTAGCACTAGTTTAAACCTGGGAACTACTCAATGACCATCAACAGAAAAATGAATTTAAAAATGATCATATATTCACATGGAATGCTATGCAGAAATAAAAATTTTCATGTTAATAATATGGACGAATCTCACAAAGCCAGAGAGGAAAAATAAAAGTCAGAAATAAGAGAGTATATAAATAGAAATGCACAGTGTCTAAACAATAAAAATAGACAAAATTAATCTAGGTTATTACGTTTAAAGAGTGGTCATTTTGGGGTAGGGAATAGTGATGGAAAAGGACCAGGAGGGAGCTTCTGGTGTGCCGGTGATGTTGTTTCTTTTTCATTTTTTATTTTTTTGGGGCAGAGTCTGGCTCTGTCATCCAGGCTGGAGTGCAGTGGTGCGATCATGGCTCACTGCAGCCTTAACCTACCCAGGCTCAAGTGATTCTCCCACCTCAGCCTCCCCAGTAGCTGGGACTACAGGCACGTTCCACCACGCCCAGACAATTTTTGTATTTTTTGTAGAGATCGGGTTTCGCCATGCTGTCAGGCTAGTCTCAAACTCCTGGGTCGAGGGATCCATCTGCCTCAGCCTCCCAAAGTGCTGAGATGACAGGTGTGAGCCACCATGCCCGACCTGTCCTGTTTCTTGATCTGGGTGCTGGTTACATGGGTGTGCTCAACATGTGAAAATATAATCATCCGCACACTTGTGATTTGTGCCCTGTCCTTCTATAAATTATACTGCAATAAAAATTGTGTATAACAAAAAGCAAACAAACAGCAAACTGGAAATTTTTCTGCAAGTATGCTAAAGGCTTAGTAATATATGAAGAACTCACGCAGGTCAATTTTTTAAAAGCTAGCAGCTAATAAGAAAATGAGCAACAAATATGAAGAGAAATGTTTAAAGAAATAAAAATGGCTAATGCACAAATGCACAAAATGTAAATTAAAACAATGGAATGTTATTTTTGCCTACCAAATTAGCAAAGATTAAAAGAAACTGTTAAGGCGGTTGTTGAGGATTTGGTGAAACCAATACTCTCTTATTTTTAATGGAAACCTGAATTGGTATAACCTATCTGTGTAAGTCTTAAATGTTCATATTCTTTGACCCACTAGTTCTACTTCTAAATATTATTCTGAAGAAAATCAGAGTTGTAGTTAAAGATGGGCTTATATCACTGTTGATTACAACGGTATTTTGAAAAATAAAGGTTATATTATGATACACATGAGGGGATATTAATGTTTTCAAAGAATGATGAATGGGAAAAGATTCACGATAAAGTGAAAAATATATACAAAATTCTATGTGGTATACCTTTTATTCTAAAAAATATCACACACATATTGTGTCTTAATATAGAGGCTAAAACACTACACACACATAAACACACACTTACATACAAATAACGTCTATAAGAACACATACCATATTGTTAATAGTGACCATCTTTCGGTGGTGGGATAATGAGTGATTTTAACTTGGGGGTTTATTTTCTATAATAAAATGTTCCTTGAGCATATATTACTATTACATTCAGAAGTCAAAAATAATGGATTAAAAAAATACATCCATCAGTTACCCTTACTCTAGAAATCTATTTCTCTCTCCTTCAGCTACCACATTCAATCTATAAACATTGAATCGATTTTAACTAACAAGTGTCTGTCCAAGCCATTATTCCATTACGTCTCTCATTTCCAAAATTCAGGCCCTTGTCTTCCCTAATGAACGCCTCATATCTAGACTCTTCATTTCGGTAAAATGGCCACATTTTCCATTGCTTCTAAATTGCAGCCACATCAAGCCACTTTACATAGCCACCCTCCACACCCCGCCCCCTAAAAATGCACGCCAGATACTTTCACACTTCCCAAGCTTGGCATACTCAGTTCTCTTTCCCTGTAATACATTTTCCCCTGTCGGTTTTTCTAATCCAATTCATAGTTAAAGATTCACGTCGGATATCGCGTACTGGGTGTAGCCTTTGGGAAGCCGCAAGGACAGAAACTGATCCTTCAATGACGGTTTGTACATATTTCAACATTTAACATTCTGTCCTGTTTGTGCCTCGCTCTCTCGCTGTATGGCATGGGTTACTCCATTTTTAAATTTTCTTAAAATCTAGTTGGATGAATGAAAGTAAAGCGTACACATGCAATACACGTATGTACAGGAGTGCGAGTTTTGACCTGTGTCTGAAGGAAAAAATGGCATCAAAAACACTCGCCCGATTTTTTTCATTCAAGATGGCAGAGAACGTCTTAAAATAGTCCCACACAAAAGCACTCACATCTAGAGCCTCAAGTCAGAAGAACTGGCTACACCTAGCGCAACAGCAAAGGACAAAAGAATCGAATCTAGATGCTGAGACGCCCCGGCCCTAACCACCCACAGTAGGTCCCACATAAAGACTTTAAACCTTGTTAGAAAACCGGCACCTGCTGCCTTCATTCCGAGGGCCACGCCTTGACGGTGAACAGTGACCTGAAGCATTTCTAGATACTGACCCAAAAAAATCGCGGATGGAAAAGGAGGCGGCTAAGTTGTGACTATCTAAAACGCACCATTCGGCCCCGCCCCAGCCGGGCGCAGTCTCCGCGCGGCACATCCATTCCTAGGAAGGAAGAGACACCGCTCCAGCCCAGGGCCTGGCAACCGGGCACCGTCTGGGAATTCTGGGCGGGCCCGAGATACAGGCCGGCCACGGACAGGGCGCCTCTGGCTACACCTGTCAGGCGACGACGGACACTAGGCCCTGAAATCGCTGGGGTTCGGTAGTCGAGGCCAGCTGGAGCGCGTCACCGGATCCCTAGCCCCGGGAACGCCTTGCCTCCTCGCTTTCCGTCTCGTCCTTCTCAAACAAAGGCAATCCACACCCACCGCCATTTTCCCCTTACCTCAAAAACCACCTCTTCGTCAAACTCCGGTGTCATCCTTCTCCGCCATGCCACCCGCCTCAGCACGATGGGAAATGAAGGCGGGAGAACCCGCGGCACGGAGCTCCAGCTCCTGCTCGTCTCGTGGGTCTAGAAAACTACAATTCCCAACATGCCTCGCCGCCGACGCCCACTTTTCGAGCCTGCTTATTGGAGAAGAGCGTGAGCGTGTGAGCGAGAGAGGCGGGAGCGAGCGGAATCTCGAGCCTTCCGATTGGAGGAGACTAGGGCTTTTGTCTGCCTTTTACGGCCACGACTAGCAGGGGGCGCCCGCAGCACTGCTGATTTTTGGAGCCCGAGAAGGGCACGCGCCAGTGGAGACGAAGTGAGCACTGCTCGTGCCCGCGCCTGGCCGTCCGCCTGGAGCTCTACGGGGCGGCGCTCGTGCTCGCCCGCCCGCCCCCGGCGGCTCGCGCCCGGGAGCGCTGCAGGGTCGCTGGAGCCGGCCGCATCCTTTGTGTGGCGCTCAGGCTGCGCCGCGGGGCGGCGGGACGGAATGTGGGCGCTGTGGGGGCTTTTCTCTTCTGCCCAAACTGTGGAAACAATGGACTGAAAGGGGAACATGGATTGAGGGGCCGAGCGGGGAAGCGAGCTGCACCGGGGAATCATGACTTCAGCAGCCGGTAAGTGAAGGCGCTCGCGCTGCCGCTGGAAAGTTTGTGGCGAGCGCTGCTAGGCTTGGGCTCGCGAGCAACTTTCTCCGCCGGGATGGGCGAGTTGTGTTTCCCGTACCTTTGCCGAGCACCTCGGCAAGCTCGGAGCTAATGGGGTTCGCTCCCGGATTTCTCGTCTTTTCCTGCCCAGAGGTGGTGTTTGGAAACCCGGGATTTCTCGGGACCTCCCTTCCAAGGGGGATTCTGCTGGGGGCTCTGCACCAGGTGAAACGCGATGTGTGAAGGGCGTTCGCTCATCTCTCCAGCAGCGCGAGGACTTCGCCTTTGCATGTGAAAATAGTGTAGATTCCCAACTTAATAAAAAATCAGTTATTATAGGCAAAGGCAGTGTTCTCAGCGTGTTCAATTTGGCCACTAAGTGAGTCGCTTTCAACCTTGTATCTGCTGGTAAACCTTTTACCCATTTTAAAGAGGCGTAGACATTGTCATCTCCTGGTGATTTTACCTCTGTTACCTGAGAAGCAGGGGAGTTGAGATTGTTGAGTTTTGTTTTTTTTTGTTGTTGTTTGTTTGTTTGCTTGTTTGCACCGAATTACAGATACTTTGTTTGTTTCTACCTGATTAGGGTAAACAAAGCTTTATTTTCTGTCTGCCTCCCATATAGTTCTTTCCCCTTGATCAAAATGACAAAGCCTCTATCTTTGTGTGGATTTTCAGCAATTCTAGACGTTGTGTTTCTGCACATTCTTAAGGAACAATTTCTATTTTACAAAATAATTACCAAAGTGGTGTTACGATCACTTTATAAGTACACAGGTTAATTTTTAAACCAGAACTTATGTATTAAGTAGAGTGTTATGGATTCTTTTACGTTTTTGTCCACGTTGAAACAAACTTTCATTAGAAATTTTATAGTGAAATAGTTTAAAGCTTCCTCTCAAAGTTACTTCTAGAATCAGCACTTAAGTATCAGATTAAATTTTCATTGCTTTTCTTGGCATTTGTTTAAAATTCTTGCAACTTGAAACTGTCAAACAGCACTCAAATGTTCTGATTTGTATTATTTCTAAAGCCTAGATATATTGTAGTATTGCATTGCTCCGTGTGCTCAGATTACAACAAACGAAACAAGAAGTTAGCCAATAGAAGAAAGCAAGAAGTAGGTGTTGGGTGGGTCTTTCCTTTTTGATGTTATATGCACATATATGAGATATCTTTATAAACTCTCTTTTCTTTACCAAAGGGAGGCTTTATACTTACATAAGGTAAATTATTTTCATCCTAAATTTCTGTGCCTTACCTTCGTTCAAGAAATTGATTTAAATTAAAAGTAGTTGGAAATTTTAAAATCTTTCCAGCCAGTTTTAGTTCTTTCCTTTTTGGAGGTGTCAAATGTATTTAAAATAACCGTATCTTATATGTATCAGTTTTCAGTTCCAGTCTTAACAGTTTATAAGGAACAGGCACAGAAGCATGTAATTTGACATTTATGTAAACCCGATTTCCAGGGCCCAGACTGGAAGTTCATGATTCTTGCATTTGAATTATCCTAAAATAATGCAAGCTATTTTTGTATTTTATCAACTTTACAATTAAATAAATCCACAGAAATTTTTGTGGTGTTTAAAGTGGGACACTTCCTGTGTCTAGCAGAGTTGGTTGGTTTTTAGCATGGCTGGCTGAGAAGCATCAACTACTTTTTTGCTCACCCATCTGTTGGATTTATTATAATTCTTTCTGGTGTCTAGATGGGGAATATGGAAGAGAACTGGGGTTTTATTTCTGCCCATTCTTATATGTGTACATAGTTCTTACAAGCTGATTATGGTGCTTTTTGGGAACAATAGTCAAATTCATTGAAACGTTTAGGAAGGTTATTTGAAGTTAAGGGAGGGGATTTTTGTTTTTGAATCTAATCTGTGGTAATTGGAAGAGTTGGTTTAAGAAAATAAAAGGGATGTTGTAGAACATCTAGGTTATATATATCCAGCAGAAAAGCTTGCTTTGTTTTTCTGCGTCTATAAAAGAATCTGCCCTTGGTGGATATTTCAGAATTATTTTAAGCTGTATATGAAAAAGGAGAGGCTGGGTGCGGTGGCTCACGCCTGTAATCCCATCACTTTGGGAGGCCAAGGCGGGCAGATCACTTGAGGTCAGGAGTTTGAGACCAGCCTGGCCAACATGGCAAAACCCTGTCTCTACTAAAAATACAAAAATTAGCCAGGTGTGGTGGGATGCACCTGTAGATGAAAATTGCTTGAGTCCGGGAGGCAGAGGTTGTGGTGAGCAGAGATCGAGCCACTGCACTCTAGCCTGGGTGACAGAGCAAGACTCTGTCTCAAAAAAATAAAGAAAAAAGGAGAGAGAATTATAGGTATATATAGGTATATATTTTGTGTCCTTTTGAACATGTACAGGTCACTGTCTCATTGTCTGTGCTTTGCATTTTGGCTGGTCCAGTAGCCAGAGAGTGTACACGTGAACCACAGCCATCTGTGTGTAACAGATGACGAATATGTTTGTAATAGTTAGTAAAATGGTACTAGTGCTTTACTTTCTTACCTTATATTTCCCTGGAGCCAAACAGCTGTGTAAATAAAAGATTTGCTGCTTTGCTCTAAGAAGCTTTGGGTCTGACTGTTGATACAGTATTAAGATCCAAAGGTGCTGGGTTTGTTGCCAAACGTCATGCACTTATTTCAAGAGTTTGACTTTGGAGCAGACCATAATATAATGGCTTATTATTTTTTGAGTTGTGTTTCTTCCAAAATAGAGCCATGAAAAAAAAAATAATGAAGCATTTTGGATATTGCTATACCAGTGACTTAGTTGAACACTTGTTGCCATTAATAATTAAGAAATTATTCCATAATCCTGTTGAAATTGATTCCTGCTAACTTTTCAAAATATTATTCTACATTAAAATGGATGTACATTTTTGAATGTGGTTATTTTTAGAGAAGAAATTTTCTGTTATGGAGACATATTAAAGAGTATGTATATGTGGCAGCTGTGATTATTCCCGGGCCCTGTTGTTAGCACTGGGATACATCAGTGAATGAGACAAAGTGCCTGCCCTTCTGGAGCTTGCGTCTTATGCTGAACACAGACAAAGGTGCACTGAAAAAACATCAACGCAGGAGAAAGAGGCCATAGTACATAAGGTTCTCCTGAAATAAGCATTTCAGATGTTATCATCTCAGATTCCTATGGGCTTTAGAGGCCTGTTCAACTCCCCCATTTATAAGGAAGGAAAGTGAGGCAGCCAGGTCTGCACAAGGCCCACAGTTAGGTTAGCCAGCTCCCTGAGTTATGTCTTTGACTTCCTTCAATACACAGTTAACTAACAGTGGCAAGCCCAAGTTCACACTTATTAATTGAATTCAGTGAGTAGGCATTGAGGGCTTTATGTACATGATAGGGCTTTGCTATATTTATTGGGAATCAACTCCAGCTCATACGTAGTTAATTGAATTTCTGTGACACTAGAACAGGAATTTATATCTCTTGGAAGCAGATTTGTGTACAAAACACATTTTTTAAAAAGAGTAAAATTGGTGCCAGAGATTTTTATAAAATGATACTTAAATGACCCTGAAGTTTCTGACAAGGTTCTAAGATTTAGAAAGTAAAAGATTAATTTGATGAGATGAAGTTTTCTTCCAACTGTGGTAAAATAGCACATAAGATAAATTTACCATCTTACTTATTTTTAAATGTATAGTTCAGAAGTGTTAAGTACATTCACATTGTACAGCCAATCTCAAGAACTCTTTATTTTACGAAACTTTTTTTTTGTTTTTCCATGGAGACGGGGCCTTACTGTGTTGCCCAGGCTGGTCTTCAATTCCTGAGCTCAAGCAATCCTCCCACCTTGGCCTCCTAAGGTGCTGGGATTACAGGCATGAGCCACTGTGCCAGGCTGTCAAAACTAATTTTTAAAAAATTCTTTTAAAAATCCAGAGGTAGGATGTTTTGATAATGGTTACAGAAATGAAATCAACTTGACAATCTGTCAGTTTTTATTGAGTAAGATGGGCAGTTGGGAAGAGACCTAAGGCATTCATACTTTCTTTTAAGACTTGACTTAATAAATGGAGGGTTTAATTTAATAGACATTTACAGCTAGGTTTCTCACTAGGATTTGAAGGGTTTTTCAGTTCTTTTCT